CGTGTGCTCTTCCGATCTGTAATCTTCACATATGTAGTTACATCTCCATACAAAATCTTTCGTTACGTTTCAAAAAATTTTGTATGGAGATGAAACTATTGTACATATGAGAAGATTAAATTGTTTCACGCATCAAATTCTATACGTTACCAAAACTCTTAGCACCTAATTTATTTTAAAGCTGATATTGAGAAATTCTCTAATCTTACCTGGAATTTTGAATAAAATTCCTGGAAAATCCGGGAATTTTCAGGGAATTCTTTTACAAAATTTGAGTATCCACCCTGAAATTGCATATTATAAGAGAAAAAGATTTATCTTCAATAATCCTTCCACAGAGACTTAAGTGGTATTAATTCATTGAAACACACGATTCTAAATTCGTTCTCGTCCCACTCGGAAGAGGTGAAATCCGCGGCCAGTTATACATTGGGCAACATCGCAATTGGGAATCTTCCTGAATACCTGCCTTTCATACTTCAGGAGATTGAGGCGCAACCCAAGCGTCAATATCTGCTTTTGCATTCGTTGAAGGAGGTAAACGTTTTCGTACAGTCGTTTAATCTTCATTCCGATTCAAGCTTATCGAAATGTGGAGGATCTTCTTCAAGTACTATTTCTTTTTGTAGATCATTACGAGTCAATCAGCCAGTCCGTCTGGCGTGTCGCACTTGCAGAATTTCGTGCCTTCGATTTGGATGCTCTTGTATAGGCATTGCGAATGCACGGAAGAAGGTACTCGCAACGTCGTGGCCGAATGCCTCGGTAAATTGACGTTAATCGATCCCGCCACTCTATTACCAAGACTGCAAGAATCGCTCAAATCGCCGTCAGCCCTCATGAGAACAACGACAGTCACGGCGGTTAAATTTACCATTTCCGATCAGGTGCTTTATTTTAATCGCATATAATTGTATGTTATATCTCTCTATTTTTCCTTTTTAATATTTGGATTTCCATTTTTTAAAGGACGAAGCGCTACGAATTGTTGTCTAGTTTATCTTGGAATTTTTTTTCTTGTTTCTGTTCCAGCGAAATAATATCCTTTCGCTTGAAATTTTTTTGTATTATCCGAGCTCGCAAGATCCGAGTCTTTCACTTGATAAGCAGTTGATTTATCAAGCATCCAATAAATAGATCTAGTTTATAATACACATATATATTTACAGCCACAACCAATCGATGTCATGTTGAAGCAATGTATGGGTAATTTCCTGGTCGCTTTGGAGGATCCTGATCTTAACGTGCGTAGAGTAGCATTAGTCGCATTTAATTCTGCTGCGCACAATAAACCTATGCTGATAAGGGACCTTTTGGACGCGGTGCTGCCGCATCTTTACGTGGAAACTAAGATCAAGGTTGGCGATTATAATCTAACAAGGGATCCTCGCGAAGTGTCAAATTCTGATTTTAATGAAAGTTGGTACACTTTGAGGTTACATAAATAAATGAATTTAGAAGAGATCAGAAGAGCACACGT